ATAGACTAGACTATAGACTAGACTATAGACTAGACTATTGACTAGACTATAGACTAGACTATAGACTAGACTATAGACTAGACTATAGACTAGACTATAGACTAGACTAGACTATAGACTAGACTATAGACTACACTATAGACTAGACTATAGACTAGACTAGACTATAGACTAGACTATAGACTACTATAGACTAGACTATAGACTAGACTATAGACTAGACTATAGACTAGACTATAGACTAGACTATAGACTAGACTATAGACTAGACTATAGACTAGACTATAGACTAGACTATAGACTAGACTATAGACTAGACTATAGACTAGACTATAGACTAGACTATAGACTAGACTATAGACTAGATTATAGACTAGACTATAGACTAGACTATAGCCTAGACTATAGACTAGACTATAGACTAGACTATAGACTAGACTATAGACTAGACTATAGACTAGACTATAGACTAGACTATAGACTAGACTATAGACTAGACTATAGACTAGACTATAGACTAGACTATAGACTAGACTATAGACTAGACTATAGACTAGACTATAGACTAGACTATAGACTAGACTCTAGACTAGACTATAGACTAGACTATAGACTAGACTATAGACTAGACTATAGACTAGACTATAGACTAGACTATAGACTAGACTATAGACTAGACTATAGACTAGACTATAGATTAGACTATAGACTAACTATAGACTAGACTAACTATAGACTAGACTAACTATAGACTAGACTGTAGACTAAGCTATAGACTAGACTATGAACTTTACTACTGACCAATCCTAGTCTATTGGCTGGTCTATTGATTAGTCTATGGACTTGTCTATTGACTATTCTAACTAATAGTCTATTAGTAGACTATTCTACTGACCATAAACTAGTTTATTGACCAATCTGTTATAACTTTCATGATCGAAATTGAAATTCATTACATTTAAGCTTGATATCACTATCGAAAAAAATTTTCGATACAGAAGCTCAAACAATCAAGGAACCCGCTATTCTACCCCTTTTATTAGACGAATTTCCATATTCTTAACTTTGGCAACTAAAGATTCTTATAAGCTGTAACAACTCATGCACGCGCTCTGAAATAATTAAAAATTTCATATGATTTTATCAATAATATTAATTTTTTTTTTCTTATTGAAAAGAAATAATTCTCATGATCGCAAAAAAATAGTAATGCCTATTATGCAAAATTACTTTTACCATACACATGATATGTTTAAAATATACTACATATATATATATATATATATATATATATATATATATATATATATATATATATATATAAAAAACTGCCATAAACTAATGACCCAATTTAGTTTTAGTTTTTAATTTATTTGTTTTTAATTTTACCCAAGTTGTCAACGGTTATGTTTTTTTTTCTTTTGAGTAAATAAATAATAATTATGATTATTGATATCTGTTCTATAATGTCATATGTATGTAATATGTTTGACATATTGCAAATATTTTTAGTAACAATTTTATTTATTGCAAATTTCCAGGCTGTTGGGTTTTTTTATGTTGCCGCCTTCTCAGCCATATGCTCGTGCATAGGGCATACATAAGTGGAACGTATAATAATTGCACTAATGATGGGTAATTCCGAGCATTATACATATGTTGGTTATGACATTAAATTCTAGAGCAGGAATAGTAATATAACGAGATAAAACTACCAACATCAAATATTGATAGTGTTAATTGTCATTGTATTAATTATGACTAGAATTCTGTATACCTATAGGTATATATACGAGTTCACAGTTTCTAAGCCTTAAGTTGGTAAGGCTAGTCCAAAAAGTTGTTAATTAACCTCTCCGATAGTTGTATTAAGGCCTTAAGAACTTTTGATACTAAGACTCATAATTATGACCAAAGAACCAGTCACCAGACTAGTTCTAAGTACCTTATTTCTCTCTTCTAATAGTCTCTTCTTAGAATCAATCTATAGTTTCTCTAAAGTTAATACATACTGTCAATAAATTGGCTTTAATTCAGTCTAACACCCAAGTCATTTCGCACGCTTTCGTGGACCGCCTTAAATGCTGCTTGGGAACCTTTGCAATAGATCATTAGACATTATAATTTTAAGATTAATATCGTAGCAAATGTCACGTTATTCAAGAAGTGTATTCTTAGGAGTGTAATGGGCCCAAGATTGAACCGAAATCGAGTTAAGAAATACATAAATCAAATTATCGGCTAGAATTTATTCTATAACAAATGTTATATACCAAGATTTAACGATTCATATCAGACATGAAGAGTACTATTTTCAGTACTTTTGGGACAGAGACAAGTACCGCAGTATCCCTCACTTTTTTATATTACAAACTTTAACAAGTAGACAATAGATTTCTCTATATATTTGTCCATAAATTATTCAGGTAACGAGTCCATAGATAAATGCAAATTCCAGTACAGAGATTAGTTCATGGATAAGTCTATAGACTAGACAAAGACTAGACCATACACTAGTTTATAGAATAGTCAGTGGACTAATCAATCGTCTAGTTCATATACTAATCACTAGACTAACCCATAATCTAAGCCAAAGACTAGTCTATGGATCAGTTAATAAACTATAGTTCATCGATTCATCAATAGACCAGACAATTGTTTAATAACTAGTCCAGAGGATAGTCAATAGACTAGCGCATAGACTATTCAATAGATTAGCCCATATACTAGTCCGTAGACGAGACAATAACCCATAGATCAAACAATAAACTAGTCCATAGGAGAGTCAATAGACTAACCCATAGACTAATTATATAATAGAAGAGTTTAAAGACTAGTAAATAGTATGGTCCATATACCAGACAACAGACTAGTTCATAGACTAGTGAAGTAGATTAGTCGATAGACTAGTCTATAAACTTGTCAATAAACTAGTCCATAGACTAGTACATAGAGTAGCCCATAGACTAGTCCATAGACTAGTACATAGAGTAGTCAATAGACTAACCCATGGACTAGTCAGTAGACTGGTCAGTAGTCTAGTCTATAGTCCAGATATCAGACTAGTCAAAAGATTAGCCCATTGATCAGACAATAAACTAGTTCATCGACTTATCAATAAACTATACAATAGTATAGTCAATAAACAAGCCCATAGACCAGGGCCCAAATTATGGCATATGATATCGATCGAAATCTCAATAGAATCTAAATGGAGATTTCGATCGATATCGTATGCCATAAATTGGGCCCAGACAAAAGACTAGCTCATCGTCGTATCAATAGTCTAGTCTATAAACTAGCCCATAAACCAGACAAAAGACCAGTTTCTTGTCTTATCAATACACTAGTCCCAAGGCTAGTTCATAGGATAGTCCATTGATTATCTCGTTGACCAGTCCATAGGTTAGTATTTTGACTAATCCATAGGTTAGTACATTGACTACTCCATACACTAGTACATTGCATAGACTAGCCAATAGACTAGTCAGTAGTCTAGTCCATAGACAATAGACTAGTTCACAGACTAGTCAGTAGATTAGTCTATAGAGTAGTCAACTAACTTGTCCATAGAATAGTTCAAAGACTAGTCAATAGTCTAGTCCATAGAATAGTTCAAAGACTAGTCATTGACTAGTCCATAGACCAGACAATAAACTAGTTTAAAGACTTAGCAATAGACTAGTCTATAGGATAATCATTAGACTAAACTATAGACTGATCAATAGACTAAACCATAGATTAGTCAATAGACTAATTCAAAGACCAGTCAATAGTCCATAGATCAGACATTAGACTAGTTCACAGACTAGTCAGTAAATTAGTCTATAGAGTAGTCAACAACTTGTCCATAGAATAGTTCAAAGACTAGTCAATAGTCTAGTCCATGGACCAGACATTAAACTAGTTTAAAGACTTAGCAATAGACTAGTCTATAGGATAATCAATAGACTATACCACAGACTAGTCAATAGACTAATCCAAAGACTAGTCAATAGTCTAGTCCATAGATCAGACATTAGACTAGTTCACAGACTAGTCAGTAGATTAGTTCATAGAGTAGTCAACAAACTTGTCCATAGAATAGTTCAAAGACTAGTCAATAGTCTAGTCCATAGACCAGACAATAAACTAGTTTAAATACTTAGCAATAGACTAGTCTATAGGATAATCAATAGACTTAACCATAGACTAGTCAATAGACTAATTCAGAGACTAGTCCATAGTCTAGTCCATAGATCAGACATTAGGCTAGTAGTCAAGAAACTTGTCAATATATTAGTCTATATAATAGTTCATAGGTTAGCCCGTAGACTAGTGCTTAGGGTAGTTAATAAACTTGTTAATTGATTTATCAATAGTCTAGGCCTAGACTAGTCCATAGATTAGTCAATAACTTAGGCAAGAGACAAGTCCATAGGCGTGTCCATAGACTTGTCTACTTTATAGATTAGTTTATAAACTATTCTAGTACTAGTTTATAACTTTTAATCTCTAAAAAGTACTAATTTTGAATCATATCACCAAAAATTCTACCATTTGCATTTGAACATTCAATTATTGCAAATATTATTTTTTTAAAAGCTATGTTTACATATAAATAATACTTATTTCTGCACATCTAATAAATTTTTTTTAATTAATAAAACAATTGCACATTGCTTATACAAAATGCACCACATCTCCACTCGATCCCTCTCTACTTAGCTAAAGATTATAATTCAAAAACTTTATCACTTAAACAAAACATGAGAGAAAAAAAAAACTCAATAATTAATATTACAATTGCAAGTATTAAGAATACAATAAAGGAGAAATTTAAACATAAAATGTTCAAACGGCTAAACCTTTTTACAATAAAATTTTGCTCAAACACTATGCTTATCAACAAACAATAATAATTTTACCAGAATATCTCAATGAGGAAAAAAATACGATTCAATAAACAAAGTCAAAGACTCGATGGGGTAAAAAAAACACTCGTACTTAAACCAGCAGCGCTCAGCTTGAAATTAGTCTTGAATCTAGCGTCCAGAAGTACTGAACGATAATTGTATAGAAACGGGAACAATAAGTTTTATAAGTATTTCATTTTCTATGGGGTTTATAGTGTAAAAGAATTGAAAAACAAAAATCTTGGAATTTGAAAGTAAAATTTACAAAAACAAATTAAAAAAGTGATAAGGAACTAGTAGAGCTGGTGGTTCCTTGGCAAATAAATAAAGAAATTTAAAACTTTTAAATGAAATTTTGTTCAACAAATGATAAAACAAAAACATTTTTAAAATTTATTATTGTTTACAAAATAATCACTAACTGTTATACGCCCTACTGTGTATGACAGTTTAATAATCATTAGTAGTATTGCCAGTAACAGTATATCCACCTTTATTTTTCTTATCAGTTCAAAAATAATAAAATAAAACTAAAGAAAAATTCATATAAATTACAGGTGTTTTTCACAATTTTCATTCATTAACCGCTCGTAAACTACTACGAGCCAACGAGTCCACGCCGAAAGCACAGATATTTTCTTTTGCAAATCGTTAAGTGTTTGAAAATGTTAAAATCATTTTATAAATTACTTTTGGCATTCTTAATCGTAAATAATGCCGCTTGGGCTTTGGAAAATGGTTTAGCTCGTACACCACCCATGGGCTGGATGCATTGGGAACGCTTTCGTTGTATAACTGATTGTAAAAGATTTCCAGATGAATGTATAAGGTAAATAAAGAAAAAAAGATTATTAACCTCTTCTTGTCTTCATTCATAATTCTATGCTATATATAGTAAAGTGAAGTGTTGTTGTATTATAGCCGAGATAAAAGTTGAATAATCTCTAGAGTGCAAAGTCAAGGTCAAATTCTTTTACTGATTGAAAAGTAGATTCAATAAATGAATGAATGATAAAAAAATATATAATGGAAATTATACTACAGTGTCGTAGTTTGGCAAAAGTTTTAAAATTGGAAATGTATTTACAAGAAAAAAGTTATAGAGTGAATAGGAACCGATTCTAATATCATGCTATTTAATAGTTTTAACTTCATAAATTATGTTTGAAGTTATTGAATATTTCGGGAGTTTCTGTTATGTGTTAAGTTATTGAATATTTCGAAAGTTTATTTTTAAAATTTTGACCTCAAATTAAGAAACATTTTAAATGTTAACACTTCTTTCCGATCTTTTACGAAACATACTACATAGGATACGAAGAAATACACCTAGGTTGCTATCGGGCCTTTTGTGCGCTCCTTAAAATGGAAAATGTTGTTGGAATATATTTTATATGGTGCTCTATAAAGATATTATGTCCGATGTTTAGAAACTTAGTTTTGGATCTAATTTTGAAGGGAGCCTGTTAATGACAAAGCCTGTGTTCCTGAGTTTCACAATCCCTTAGTCAAACTTTGCGTAATAGGTCAGTTCCTAGATCTGCACCGGATCCCTCGTGCACCCAATTTAATGGATTATCTTGAAGGGAAAAACTTCTTTGAATGTATTATCGTCCAATGTTTGGAAACTCAGTTTCCTGGACGTAGTTCTATAGAATTTTCCAAACAGTACTGCTGAGATATGTAATATCTGTAAGAATATTACTCCCATTATATTTGGATATAATTTCGACGAGAGCGTGACAATGACAAAAAAAGTATTCATCTTAAAACTTAAGTCCAATTGTGCGAAGTTGTCGAAATCATAAATAAAAATATAGGTTAGGATGAAAGGAGGTTAGGATGAAAGGAGAAAGAAAGGCCTCTACCGGGAATATTGTCAGTTCCTACGAGTACACAGATCCTGAGAATTTCCCAATCAATGTTCTTGGGGGTTTGAATATCTGGAATAATATCGCTCCTGTGTGTTCACTTGGAATACGTACTATCATACTAAGCTTGGACTTGCACATTCTAAGGAGGTTTCTCGCACTTCTTATAGGATCTATGTAGAGTGATCCGAATAGTTTCAGATCGTTTTTAATTTCGCACATATCCGATGTCATATGCTTGAGGGACTCTGAATCCGTTTTCGATGGGTTTATGGAATCTAAATTTAAATTACATGTTACTTTAATGAAAGACCCTCATCTTCATGTATTGTAATCCCGGGGAAGAGAGGAGCTACTAGTACCGCTAGTCTGACGGGATTATAAACTGGTGATGATCTAATGTATGCTCGGCTTTTCCTTGGAATGATCGGATCTGGTACCACGAGAACAGGTAGCATACAGGGCAGAGTTTCGGAGAGGTCCAATTAGGGGAAACATTTTAGGATGGATGAATTTTATAGGCGAATAACTTGACCTCTGAATGTTCCAACAACATATTGATATACTAATATTTTACTTTTTCTCTCATTTACAGTGAAAATCTTTTTAAACGTACCACCGATCTGCTAGTCGATGAGGGTTATTTAGCGGCCGGCTATGAATATGTTATTATCGACGACTGTTGGTTGGAGAAGGATAGAGATAATGTTACCAATAAACTAGTAGAAGATCGTTATAGATTTCCTAGTGGTCTCAATCACTTGGCCGATTATGTGAGTTTTAAGAAAATCGTTATATAGTTTAACATTAAAGAACAATTTCTTGTCCAGATTCACAATAAAGGTGTAAAATTCGGTTTGTATCAAGATTATGGCACTAATACTTGTGCTGGCTATCCGGGTGTTATCAAACATATGGCTTTAGATGCCCAAACATTTGCCGAATGGGATGTTGATTATGTTAAATTGGATGGTTGTTATGCTGATATCAATGAAATGGATCAGGGTTATCCAGAATTTGGTAGACTTTTAAATCGTACCGGTAGACCTATGGTGTACTCATGCAGTTGGCCTGTGTATCAGGAGTATGAGGGAAAATTGGTTGGTGGCAAAAAGTTATAAATTAGGATTTTTTTGAAATTCTATATATTTTTTTTATAATTTAGCCCAATTATGAAGCTTTAAAGGAGCACTGTAATCTATGGCGTAACTGGAATGATATTGATGATTCTTTTGAATCGGTGGCACAAATTATGGATTATTTTTCGAAAAATCAAGATAGAATACAACCACATGCGGGACCAGGTCATTGGAATGATCCCGATATGGTAAGAGAATGAAAATAAAACTCTTTACAGTATATTTTTAAGAGAACCCGATCAAATGCATTAGAGAAACTTTGTTCTTAATTTCAATTATTTTTAATGGTGTTTTAACGTATTATTTCTTTAATTTTTAGTTAATTTTAGGCAATTATGGTTTATCCTACGATCAAAGTAAATTACAAATGGCGGTTTGGTCTATTCTGGCAGCTCCCTTAATTATGTCTAATGATTTAGCTACGGTGAGACCAGAAATTAAGGAGATTTTACAAAATAAGTAAGTACCAAGGAATTTTAAAAAATACAGAAAACTTTCTGCAGAAAGAGGCACGCTGTTCCCCTTCCCAAATGTTAGAGCTAGTTTTTGACCATTCGAAAATAAGAAAAGTGGCTATAGCTTCTTTCACAAGTATTCTTTTATTCGAATAAGATACGACTAAAGTTATAACTTTATAATAAAACATTTGTTTAATTATCATTCCAGACACGTCATAGCTGTGGATCAAGACCCCTTGGGCATTCAGGGACGTCGTGTTTTGTTGAGAAATAAAATAGAGGTGGGTTTTTAGAAAAAATTAAAGAGTTTCAATATTAAATTTTTCTTTTTTATAAGGTATGGACTCGCCCTATTACACCCGTTGCTGCCAACAATCAATACTCTTATGCCGTGGCCTTTGTTAGTCGTCGTGCTGATGGTGCTCCCTATCCTACTAAATTTAAATTAAGCGACTTAAATTTGAATAATAAACTTGGCTATACGGTTACGGATCTGTATGATAATAACAAGAATGTGGGTACTTATAAGCCAGGACATGTTTTCCAAACACGTGTTATACCCAATGGTGAGTAGAAATGTTATAATTTTTAAAAATCCTAGTTAATAGACTAATATTGTGAATAGACTAGTTCCTAGATATACAAATCGATAAACATGTAGACCGACGGAACTATACTCTAGTCTATTGCCTAATCCATAGATTAGTCTGACACTATGGACTATAGAGTAATCTGCAGACCCATATATAAATAGCTAAATCAATAGATTTATACATTGACTAGTTCACAGTAGGGTTCTATAGTTGAAACGTCGACTATAGTCGACTTTTCGACTTTTTTCATTTAGTTAAAAGTCGACTTTTCGACATTTTGCATTTTATGAAAAGTCGATTTTTCGACTTTTCGACTTTTTTCATTTAAATAAAAGTCGACTTTTAGACTTTTCGACTATAAGTATTTTATAAATAGTCGACTTTTTCCGACTTTTTTCGACTTTTTTTGACTTTTCGACTTTTTTCGACTTTTCGACTTTTTTCGACTTTTTCGACTTTTCGACTTTTTCCGACTTTTTTCGACTTTTTGACTATTTTCGACTTCTTTCTACTTTTTTCCGACTATTTTTTGACTTTTTTCGAGTTTTTCCGACTATTTTAGAGTTTTTGACTTTTTTTCCACTTTTTGATTTTTGACTTGTTTCTACAATTTTCGATTTTTCGACTTTTTCCAACTTTTCGACTTTTTTCGACTTTTCGACTTTTTACGACTTTTCGACTTTTTTCGACTTTCTTCGACTTTTTTCGACTTTATTCGACTTTTTTCGACTTTTTTCGACTTTTTCGACTTTTCGACTTTTTCCGACTTTTTTCGACTTTTTGACTATTTTCGACTTCTTTCTACTTTTTTCCGACTATTTTTTCACTTTTTTCGAGTTTTTCCGACTATTTTAGAGTTTTTGACTTTTTTTCCACTTTTTGATTTTTGACTTGTTTCTACAATTTTCGATTTTTCGACTTTTTACGACTTTTCGACTTTTTTCGACTTTCTTCGACTTTTTTCGACTTTATTCGACTTTTTTCGACTTATCGACTTTTTTCGACTTATCGACTTTTCGACTTTTATTCACAAAGTCGACGTTTCGACTTTTTTCACAGACGATAGTCGAGTTATCGACTTTTTTGGGACAAAATAGTCGACTTCGACTTTTCGACTTTTTTCGACAAAAAGTCGATTATTCGAAAGTCGATTTATAGAACCCTAGTTCACAGCCTAATCTATTAAATAGTCGACAAAATAGTTCAAGTATTATTCTATAAACAAGTCCATAGACTAATCAAAAACTTAGTTGATATACTAGATTAGACTTGTAAATAGACTAAGGTATTGTCAGTAGACTAACTAGTTCATAGGCTAATCCATATACTAGTCAATAGGACATTGACATAGGGTAATCCATAAAATAATCCATGTATTAGTCAACAGATTAACATATTTGCAAGTCCATAGAGTAACATATAAACTAATCCATAGACTAGTCAGCACTCTATCTATAAACTAATCTATATGCTAATCCATATTATAGCCCAAAATTTTAGAAGCTTTGAATATACAAAACTGCGTTATTTCGTAATTTTTAACAAAGAAAACTTAAAAACCACCAGTTCTTTAACGAAAAAGTACCTAAAAGTCTTAAAAAGTACCAGTTGGAGGACGAAAATGTACAAAAAATCCATTCCTACAGAATTCCATTCATTCAGGACTCTGGATGCTTAATCTGATGTTTCTATATTCAATCTTATAGAAAACTCAAAAAGTACCATATGAAGAACGAAAAAGTACCAAAAATACGTACAATTTTGACCCCTTAAACGTCCGAATGTCCAAAAAGTATTAAATTTGTATTTTAATTGTTTCGATAAATTACGAATGACTTAGAAATTTTATTTGTAAAAGTAAAAAGTACTAAAAAGTAC